GTTTTAGGTTCAGTTTTAAAGTCACAGGTGAATTCACAGATTTATTCTTATTATATAGTAGTTTGTGGATGACATTCATCCAGCTAATATCTACGCATGAGTTTTCCTTTTGGTTGTTAATTATTCTATGAAATCACATTTATTGTATTTATTTTATGTTTTTATGTATTTTGTAGTTCTACGTTCCCCAGAGAGAGAGAGAAAGGAAAACACAACAGAAAAGTTAAAAACAGACTGTGTCTGGAGAACTGTGATTGGATCATGGGTTTAAATCCCGTCTGGATCATTAAATATATAATTAGTTTCTTTTGTTTGCATTAAAATCCAATTCAGATACAATGATTTCATGCAACTGTGGAGGGAGTGTTTGGAAGCACCATAGTCCTTCTATATCCAGATTATGTACATTTTTTCTTACATGTTTATACATGTGGTTTGCATTCATTAAATATTAATATTTAAAGGTGCAATATGTTTGTTATTTCTACATTAGCCCTTGTTAGCATTAACAGATGTTTACTTACTTAGCTTCAACTATCACGTCTTTTCTTCTGCTAAAGTTAGCATGCTAACCAGCTAGCCTCGGCCCGTCCAGTCCGCCCTCAGTCCAACAGCAGAGGATGAAGAAGTCGTGCTGATCTGACTTCGTAAGCTAACCTCTGGCCTTGTAGCTGCAATGATGGCCGCCGCCGCCGCCAGCTCCTGACAAGAAACCACGTTTAGCTGCAGAGAAAACTTACATACAGCACCTTTAAATGCTTCATTATAATTGTATGTTTCACTCAGAGAAAGTCATAAACCTCTCAAGTGTTCAGCGCTCAGGGAATACACATGTGCAGTGTTACAGACAAACTCATGAAGATGAACCTCTTGCATCCACAAACAGTGTCGCCAGTAAAACACTAGAAGCCTGTGGAGGGATGGGATACGTGCTCACACACCAGACCTCAGTCTAGAAACATCAAACTTCAGCAGGATGATTAATAAACTCATACTGAATCACAGGATTTAATAATGCTTCCTGGTCTGAGGACCGTGTGAAGCGGTGAGCCGAGGGAGGGAGCGAGCGTGGAGTCGCTCTGTCTGCGGGTCAGAATAACACACGGGAGGATGTATTTACTCTGGTTTATACACACTCAGCAGTTGGAGCTTGTGGGGGAACTTTGAAGATGCGGCGTGATTCACCGGAGACGTTTTCGGTCTCATGCAGATGTTCCTGGGGAAAATGTGTGTAATCAAGACACGAGGGGAACGAGCTGATGACTCATCTTGGTTTTTCTTTACTCGTCATCACATCAGCTCCGGGTCAAACCTCAGTATCTTTGTGTCTCTGGTACAACTTCAACTAACAGCTACTTTCTTATTTATTTATCATTTTTGATGAAGTAATTGTTTAATCCATCAAACATTTCCAGAGCTGTTGTTTTTCCAACTGTTTATTTCTTCTTCCTTCTCAGTGTGGGATCAATAGTTGATCACGTCTTTCAGACACAACAAGACACAGAGAGGAGAAACTGTCACGTCACAGTGGTCGGAGTATTTCTCATATATCACATTCATCGTTTGCGGTCATCACATTACAGTTTATTTATGGTGCATTCAAGGGTCATTTTGCATAATGAGTAATTTTACTTTACATAAAATGTTACGTAGTGACACAGTATGTTTATATGTAGCTCCACTTCCACCGCTGCTGATGCTGATGCTGCTGCTGATGATGATGATGATGATGCTGATGATGATGATGACGACCCCGTAGGTTGAACTGCTTCAGTTTATCTGTTTCTCTAATCAAGTTCCTCACGGATAAATACAAATATTTTGAGTTTGACTTTTAACCACTTGTAATTATTTGAATTCACCAGTATCAGTTTTATCTTACCCAGGAGCCTGTGTATTTTGCCGCATGTGAATCTGACTGATTCACTTTTCTTTTATGTTTTTCTACAGTTTTCAGAAAAGAGGTTTTAGCAGAATGAACGTTAAACCATGTGAAGTAAAAAAAAAAAAAGGTGTAATTTTGGAAACTAAACTCCAGCAGGTCTGATCATCTGTCTCCTCCTGCTCACTTTATTCCTTTATTATTCACATGAATCTATTCAATAAAACACGACTGTGTCCGAACAACGTGAGATGATTCTTCAGACTTTTACTGACAGAAAATCTGATTTTACTAAATAACATTTGATGAGAGTTTAAACGATGAAAGTCTGATATTTGTGACGTCGTAACATCAAACAAAGAGACATCGCATTCGCTCTCTCTTCCAACATGGAGGAGGGGTTACTGTATATCAACACACACAGTTGACCCACACACACACACACACACACACACACACACACACACACACACACACAGTTGACCCACACACACACACCTCAGCTGGCATCTTGTCACAGCATGCAAATGTGGACAAAGCAGAAGGTGTATGAGCGCATATTTTTACTAAATGCAAGACCTCATTTTTGGGGCGTTGAAAACCTTGGAGGGATTCTGTGTGTGTGTGTGTGTGTGTGTGTGTGTGTGTGTGCAGTGCCTCCGGTGACTGACTTCACAGGGGGAGAGGCTGCACACTGTCCACTCCTCTGTCCACACACACTCTGTATAATCACGTTCCCTGTCGGGCCCTATAAATCTGTAAGGGCCCAATTAAAGATGGCCTTCAGCGTGTCCACCCCTACCAGCACACACGTGTTAAAAAGAAAGAGAGAGAGAGAGAAAGAAAACACAACAACACGGTTCACTTTTCGTTGAATGTATATTTGACACAACAGACTGCAGTGTAAAACAGTAACAGGAATCGTTTTTCTAAAAATAAAAACAGTGTAAAACTCATTATAAAAAAAAAAAAAGAAAAAAAAGCTTTTGCATAGAAAGATATTTTTTGATATTTCGGTTGCAACTCACACACATATGTGCAGCTTGTGTGAGTCGAACCTAGACTGTAAAGGTGCTACGTGAATATAAAAAAAGGTTAAAAACTGTACAATCATAACGATAATAAAATGATAAATTACAAATGTCGCACATGAAATGAGCCGACAGCGACGTACTGAGCAGGAAGTAGTGCATGCAAATCACATTAAAGCTACACTTTGGCTGAAATGTTGACAAAAATGACACGAAGGGATATCAACAATTAGGACGACCAATTAATTCAAGTTGCATTTAAACTGTTAAAAGTTGAAAAACGTGGCTGAACTGAATAAATGGTTTAAAAATTTACTTCATTTAACAAGTGCAGAAAAACAAAAATCATCAATTTACAAAAAGCAACAAATTAAAAAATTATCTTTTTTTAAAAAAAATAAAAAAATGTATCTACAACAGCAGGTTGTAAAATGAATAATAGCACGGTGTGTGACGGCGTGTGGCGAGGACACAGTGGGGACGTGTGACGTGTTGTTAGCAGGGCGACTTGTGTTGTGACTGCTGCGTAAATATCTCATTAGTTCGGGTTAATAACATTCCTGTGCTCCTGGTTGTAACATAAAGACGACAAGATCTAAAACATCCTCGTCCACCAGCAAGAGGCTGATGAGCCTATTAAATATCAGCCTGCAAAATTATGCAAGAGGCTAAAAGTGTTTAAGTCGGACATAAATACCAGTGCACCCCCCGAGGATTTGATTTGGAATTATTTATGTCCCTCCGATCGGGACGAGGAGGAAACAAAGGAATAATTAGACCGTCGTGTGGCGCGCCGCCCTGCCTCTCGTGCACGCGCTGGTGCCCACCGTGAATGTGAGACGCTCACCCATTTCCCCTCAAACTTGATGGTTGTTGAACTTATTTTTAGTGTCATTTGATAAGCTTCCCTGCTTGCACAGAGACATCCCACTGACCCAGCCACTGGTCATTGTCTATACCGCTTCCCGTCAAAGCCGGCGCGCTTTGTCAGGTTTCGACTCGAATATCCATTTCGCATCTGAAGTACGGTATCCGAAGTGACTGGATCATTCGAGCCTTTTTCTTCAGCTGCTGCCCCCTTTTCCTCCCCCACAGTGTTTCCGCTCACACTAACATCATTTGGGATTGGCGTCATGACAGCGCGCTTGAGAAATCCACAATATATATAAATATATATCCCCTGCTTTTTGGGGGTGAGTGATTTGGGGTGGGGGCTGGGGGGGGGGTAAGCATAATTTCTGGAAATGAACAATACTTATCCGTCCATCGCATCCGTTGCTTTGGGTTTGCGTTTTGGACGTGGCGCACCGTCACCGCGGCGCGGTGTCCTCCTTTTTTTTTCCTGTGAATAACGCGGTAATAGGTCATTCAATGTCAAAAGGCATAAAAAAGAGACAGCCAAGTCTTCACAGGCTGCTGCTTGCTGTTGCCTTTAATTATTTTAATTAAACTTTGATATTCTGGTGCCGAGAGAACTAGTGAGTTGTGACGCGGCCGGGGAGCCCCCCTCGGAGGATTTGAGGCGGTGGGCAGAGGAGCGTCGGGGCGGCTGGATCTATATCTTAAAAGTCTTAACTGATGGGCCTGTTTATGGGCAGTGATGTGCTACGCCTTGCTGAGCAGAGAGCAGACTGTGCTGAAAACAGGGGCAAAAAACACCAAGCGCCATGTCAAGGTCTTAAAGGCATCAATCCCTCAAACCTTGCTGGAGATCATCCTGGTCAGGAGGCTGTCCTGCGGTCGAATAACGCTCTATTAATTTCCTTGTCCCGGGCGCATAATGAAAGGAAGGTGTCTTCAGAAAAAAAAAAAAAAAAAAAAAAAATTACCAAACTAAAGGGCAAAGTCTTGATGCCTTCCAATACCTTGGGGCATCCTGTCTACAATTTGTCATGCGTGTGCACTTCTCAGTGTTAAAATGACAAGATAAGCCAGTCAGAGGGCAGCCGCCAGGCATCCAGCTCTGCTGAAGTTGGAGAGGATTCGCGATGAGACATTGCTTCTGCACTTGTGAGGCCCACTGGGATTATTCCGACTTCCACGCCAAAGGCAAACGGCCCCCATTTTTCCTCCATGTTTTTTTTTTTTTTTCCCTTTAGATAGCTTCCGTCTGTGTCCGTGAAATTTGGTTTTTCACAGAAGGCACAATATGGTCAGAATATGTTAAGTCTTTGGTGAGCACGGAAAGCTAACTGAGTCTGAGCGCTGAGGTCTGGGGCGCCCGAGCTTCTGCTTTTACTTCCCTTATTAAAAAAAAACAAACAAAAAAAAAAAAAAAGAGGGGGAGGGACTCGGTTGAAGGAAAAGGTAGTAAATAAGTTAATATTAACATCTCACCCTGTGTGCCTCAAAGGTCTGCAAGCAGAGAACCAGAGGAGAAACTTTATGCACCGAGTGAAGCGGCGTGAACAGATAGTGGTTTTAGCTGCAGGATTACTCATCTACAAAAAAAAACAAACGAAAAAAAAAACCTGAAATTCTTCTCTTCTCGTCTCGTCCACAGCGATCAGCACATGTTGGTTTTCACACAGTAGTCCTTCTCTTCTACTGATGCTGCACACGGTTGAAATTAATACACCGACCCTGAGAACGACACAGAGGAGAGAGAGACGTTAAAAACTTTCATCATGAACATCAACCTCGTGTTCGACTGCAGTTTGTATTTTTAATGAACATTTTTCCCTGTGATCTAATTTTCTACTGTTATTATTACTTTTACTATTCAACTATTATTTTATACTTGACTCTTTGATAACAGTTATTTCTGTTCAAATATTTAAAAAAAGAAAAAAAAAGAAATAAAGATAAAATTAAAAAACTGAAACAAACTGAAGGAGATAATATTATATGACACATATAAAACAAATAAAAAAAAACAAACAAGATAAATTCATTCAGTAGAAAATTATTTCTCAGCTTGGATCAAACAAAGAAGCATCAACTGGTGAACCAGCAGCAGCGTCTCTGCTCCCTCTCCACCTTTCTGACAAAAACATTTCAGCAAAGTCTTCCTGTGCACGTCTGATACCCAACGTGCATCTGTGTGTGTGTGTGTGTGTGTGTGTGTGTGTGTGTGTGTGTGTGTTTGGGTGTCGAAGCAGCTGTCTGAGCCTCTCAGCACAGCAGCAGCCTGTTCACCAACAGTAGGCCGACTGGCACCAAGAGGGAGCTCTCGCACAGCGAATCCCCAGCAGCCAGCCGGCCTCCAACCTCACGCTCGCACACAGCTCTGCCTCTCTCTCTCTCTCTCTCTCTCTCTGTGTGTGTGTGTGTGTGTGTTTACATGTGCTCACTCTGTGTTTCTGAAACATCATACAGGTAGTTAGTTGGCGAGTCTAAGGAGCAGAGAGCAGCTACAGTTCAGCGAACAGGGACTACACCTCCATGTGTGAGGGCAGCAGCAGCAGGAGCAGCAGGAGCAGCAGGAGGACAGGTTCACCCAAATCATGACAGAAAAACCTCACACACATTTCCTCACTTGCTCCAAGTCATATCGGTCTGATGTAATGAAAGTGAATAGGAACTCAAAGGAGTGGAAAACTGCTCAGCAGCAACATGTTTTCCCACAATGCCTCTGCTCTGACCGGGACTTCACACAAACGTCCTCCGGGGGGTGAGAGGGAAACCGCAGAATCATGGGTAAATACTCCAAAACATGATCCTCCAACTGGTTTCGAACCCGGGACCTTCTGGCTCTGAGCCGCAACGCAGGTTCAACAGTTAAAGGAACCGCGTTAACTCGGCCACGTAGACGTATGACAGAAGTTCCACCCGGCGTTTTGCAGGTGCACGTGACAAACACGGGGAAAGCATCTCTGTGGCTGCGCTCTGCCAGAGAGGAGATGATGGCTCATCCTCGTATCCAAAATTATTTCCATCCAAAGTCCCAGTGAAACTGAAATAAATAACTCTCAATGGGTCGATTTCCACAGCTGAGCACACAAAAAACTAAAAAAATAAATAAAACCTACGTGCTGTCGTTACTCGGCCTGTCCTCTCCACACACACACACACACACACACAGAATGAACTTTTTAATGAACTAAAACTCAAAACAGTCAAACGTCCCAATCGTCTGGTTTCTGTGGATTCCCACTGTGATTAGTTTCTTATTGTCCAGGCCTGATCTCTGAGGAGCATTTACTACACTTGGGTTGTCAAAGTAACGATACAGACCTTGATGCAATAAAAAGGAACGTTTAGCTTCATCATCATCATCATCATCGTCATCATCATCACATCCCAGGACGTGTTCGCCCAACAGGGGACTTCACATGAACACTGTGTTCACTGTGTTTGTAGCTGTTAGCCGCTCTGAGTCGACTACTCAGCTGCTGTGTTGAGTCGTTGTGATCGTTTTATTGATTGGTCATTCTGTGTGTGTTTGTTTTGTGTTTTTTTTTTGTTTGGCAGGAAGTGAGTGTTCTGGCAGTGGTTGGGAAACGCTTCTGGAAAATAAGAGTGACAGTTCTCGACTCACAACGATATTCACAGATAGTGCTGCAGCTTTTAAATCCTTCTGCTTAACTACATTCGTGCGCAGAGGGAAAATCAGACTCGTCAATTGATCTGATGATTGTGTCAACCGATCAAGCAGAACAAGCTGGTGGAAAACCAGAAATTCAGATTAGAATTTTCAGATGTGGGAGGAGAAATTTGTGGCTGAAAAGTTCTGAATTAGCACAGAATTTGATTCGAGGAGCTGAACTGAATTAGCATTAAAACGTGCACAACAAAAGCACATTCTCGCACGTACAGGCCTCACACCGTCCAGGTGGCGGCTTCCCACGGAGGCCGCCACACGTCGGCCCGGGCCGGTGAGCTGCCCGAGCTGAACGCAGGAACTCAGCAGCCGGTTCCTCTGGTGCCGCAGCTCTTACAGTATCTGCACTACAGTCTGGCTCGGGAGCAGGAGTGTGCACGGGCCGACTGTGACGAGGGCTTTAGACAAGCTGGAGAATCTTCCATTTCTCATTATTTGGCAGGGCTGGTGGTTGTTTGGTGGAGGAGTGGGGGCTTCTCTCCATTTCTGCATGGTAAGCCCCTCGACGTGTACCCTCTGCAACTAATCTCACACAGTCAACAAATAAGGCACATCAGATGCTGTTTTGGCCGCGGCCATCAGAGCGGCTAAGTTCAGTGGATTTTGCAGGTTTTACGGCACGGTGGAGGGATGTGTGGGGGGTGGGGGGGGTGGGGGCGGGGGCTCGACGAGGGGGAAGGAGCGCTCTCTGCAGCGGCAGAATGGCGGGGCGAAGCAAGGGGGATCTGGTGCGAGGGCGAAGCAGGTGCAGCACAATACGGTCAAACCCATTCCAGCTCCCCTGTTCCCCGGATGAGCCGGGCCTGACTTGGCAGGGAGCGCCACCTTGTAACTGGGCCATGTTGGAGAGACGGAGGCCCACCTGTGCCACCCGGAGCGGCGGAACAATAGTCTGAATATGTCAGCATGGAATGTCAGTGAAATCTCATCAGACAGACGTGAGCGTGACTGCGGATAGACGGGCGGATGAGTCAGGTGGCGAGATGGAGAGGTGAAGAGACAAGGGGAGGGGTGGGGGCGCGCGGGCGGGTGACGTGCGGCGGTCCAGACAGAGAGAGAGAGGCATCAACCTCCAAATGAAGACTTTGATTAATAAGGTTCATTACAGACACTCCATCGGTTTTCTATGGAAATAAACGTAAATATATCGACACAATCCGCCGCTCACACGCCTGAGAGGCGCAGCACGCGTATCCAATGTGGATAATTACTTTAAAATCTGTTCGTCATTACGATTCATGATTCATATTGTAATCTATAAAATATCAAGAAATAACAACAAATTTTAATTATTTACTAATTTTCTGTCAATCCATCAATCAAATCAGAAAATTAGTACGAAGAACTTGAAAACGGGATTCTCGCCGCGTTCACTTCCAAAAATCGTGTTCTGCAGATTTAGTGAAAAAAAGGCTGCGCAGTCGCTTTAAACTGAGGGAGCGTTTGGTGTGAGCACGTGAAGTGATCACTTTGGTGGCGCTGAGTGCTCCTTCCCTCTCGGAGTCGTGTCTTAAGGTCGGTGTTAGCCGGGGCCCCTCGCCGCGTGTTGACAGGAGCTGCAGAGGTCCACGTTTGCCCAGTGACAACATGTTTGTCACTTGGACTGTTGGCTTGTAACTTGCGGCAGAGCTCCAGGAGGGAAGTGGAGAGTGTGTGTGTGTGTGTGTGTGTGTGTGTGTGTGTGTGTGTGTGTGTGTGTGTGTTTGTTTGTTATCTCTCGCAGTGCTCGCACCCTAAACTGAACAACTGGTTACTATCTGGCTCCCAAACTTTAATACACTTTTTTTATACTCTGCATTTTGGGGAATGTCACAAGGGATGTTCAATTGTCTTCTTCTTCTGTATTTTATTTTGAAGTGTTGATCCATAAGAAGATATATTTGTGGTTTTAAGAACCAAAAACCATCTCAGTGTAGTTTTACATCTCCTCTCTCAGGCTTCTCTCTGGAGCTCTAGTAACAACAGGTCAGTGAGCCAATCAGAAGAAAGAGAAGCTCTGAGCCTCTGAGCTTCTCCTCTGATTGGCTGACTGTTTTCAGAGTGATCAAATAAAAATAAAGAAGATTTCAGGTAAAAAACAAGAGCGGTGAATGCTTTGTTGTGACATCACAAAGTTCAGGAAGTCCTGACGACTCGTTTTGAGGCTCAGTTTTTAATTACAGGCTGTGCACATGTTGTTCGTAGTTTGCACACTTTGATACTTTCACAGTATTAATATAGAACCTGGACCTGCTTTATAATCAAACAACACATGGACATCTACCTTTACACAACATGGAACCTTTAAGTCATGAAGGGACTTGGAAAAAGACGGCTCGAGTCAACAAAAGGTGGAGAGGTTGTGTAAACTCGTCTCACAACCGCAGCATGTGCCGGCCGACGCTGTGCACACTGCAAGCACTTCCAAAGGCAACTACACTCACACAGCTGGTTGCACCTGCAAAAACAATCATTCACTTATTCAAGAAATTACAAGAACAATGACTCGATTATTATTGACATGGATCCCAAACTGTCAGTCCAGCCTCAACATCACAACACCGACACGTTCAGAAAAGTCGTAGGTCACAGTGTTGGCTGCTGGGAGCTGAGTCAAACCCAGTCGTCCATATTCTCTTGACTTTCCTGTCGCTGATTTATTCAATAATCGAGCAGATGTCGATCATTTATCAGTTAAACAAAAGTACAATTTAAAAAGAAGTTGCCATGTGCTCGCAGCTTCGCGACGCCTGCTCGGAACAAGTTTCAATTGAATCTCCACGACGATTTTTTCGAGAGACAAATAACAGAGAATAAACACAGCTGATGACGAGTTCGCTCCCTTCCAAATGTTTGTACTGGCTCGTCGTATTAATCGATTGTATAGTTTGTCACATTTACAATATCGAGGACATAAAAACAACAACAACGAAAAAAAAAAAAAAAAAAAGATGCACGAAAAGAAGCGTCTATTTAGGTTACAGAACGAATCTCCCATCTGGACTGTAGTGTGAAAACACTTGCAAGCATGAGAATTGTAATCCAGTTGCAAGATGCTTAT